AAGGACTCCTTATTTTCTCTTCTCATTCTATTCCCCCTCTTCAATCGTTGTCTGGTTTTTTTTCTTTTTCCTTTTACTACCTCTCTTTTTTTTTTAATTCCTTAGTTTTATTTTCTTCCTTTCTTGCTTCATTTTGTTGCCTACTAACTTCCGTTTTTCATTCCTTGCTTCGTTGTAGTGAGAGTTCATCCTTCCACATTTTTCCTTTTGCAATGTAATTTTTCCTTCTCGGTTTTCTGTTATTTCTCAATTTCCGAGGAGACAGATATTATTTGTAAATTAATGACTCAAGAAGTATTCCAGTTACCTTTGAAAAGCACATGCAAGTTGTCAGAGGAACGAACTGGAAGATTAATTGTTGTACAGTCACACACAAAACAATCATCATATACCCCCTATGAACCAATCCAGAAGGGCCGTGACGAGGATTCGAATCTACGTCCGAGAGCATCCCAGACGCTGCCTGCCTTAATCGACTGAGCTATACCCCTTAGTTCCTCCTTTCCTTTATCAGTGGTCTTCCATTCCTTTTCTATCTCTGTTCTCATCTCCTATCCCTTCTCTCTCTCTCTCATTGACCTCCCATTCCGTTTTATCCAGTACCGTCCTTGACCACTTCTGGATAACCCTTCCACAGCTCTCTCTACTATTCCTTCTCTTCCTCCATTTACTCGGCACCTCTCACTTCCCTTCCCTCGCTGACCTTACCACAACACATTTTTAGTCATAATGAAATAGCAAAATTGTAATAAAAATGGATTTGGATGTTTGAGATCATTTTTAGGCTCTGCTCTGAAGTATTTGCTTTAAAACTCTGATGTTTGATACTTATCGTATTACACACGCACACACACGCAGCACACACGCGCGCGCACACACACACACACACACACACACACACACACACACACACACACACACACACACACACACACACACACACACACACACACGTAATGTGGTGGAGGCTGACTCTATACACAGTATACACAGTTTCAAGTGTAGATATGATAGAGCCCAATAGGCTCAGGAACCTGTACACCAGTTGATTGACAGTTGAGAGGCGGGACCAAAGAGCCAGAGCTCAACCCCCGCAAGCACAACTAGGTGAGTACACACACACACACACACACACACACACACACACACACACACACACACACACACACACACACACACACACACACACACACACACACACACACATCTCATCAACTAATGGGTTTTGCTAAGGGATTTTTTTTCTCGCTGATGGTACCTACGAATTATATTTTAGCGTGTGTGAGCTTTTCCTGTTTTCTGTTCATTTCTTTTTTGTTTTACATAATTTTTTTTTTAGTGAATTTCCATTTTGTCGAGACAGACTGAAGCTGGAAAGCCTTTCAACCAGCCTTCTGGAGTTGAAAGTGAACCCAGTTCTCTAGTAGATAATTATATCTGCATGCTGTTTAAAATAACCCTAATGTGCAAGTAATATGATTATATTGTTGCCTCGGGGGGAACATATTTTTTTGTTTGCTTATACACTCATTGAAGAATATGAAGCTGTTATACTTCTCAAATTGTATATATTAAAAGTATCGTAACTCAAATCATATACGCGTCATAACGCGAATATGAACATAACGTCATGACATTGAGTTCATATTCCAAAATGAATATGACAGAATATGTGTGTGTTAGTTATATCTGCACCCGGAGGCCTTATATATAAATGCAAATATTAATGCTGCGTTTAAATCTAGCATGGCATTAATTTCATTGCTCGTCACAACTTCACCGAGTTTTACGGGTAATGGAATTAGGACACTTGAGTTTTTAGTGGGAGGACTACATATCCCGGCCCCGGGCCTAGGCTCCGGCCAAGGCCCCGGCCAAAGGCTCCGGCCAAGGCTCTGCCGACGCGGGTACATAGTCTATAGTCTCGGCTTACAGAATCTATTCCACTTTGTTGTTTATTGTCATTTAGTCTGTCAGCATTTTTGCTTGCTCTTATAAATAGGGTCTGTGTAAGTGCTTGCTATTATAATTGCTTACTTTTATAAGTATAGTTGGTGTTTATGCTTCCTATTATATATGCGTAAATGTGACATACAGGTTTGCTTACATAAGCATACTTTGTATACCTGATTACTAATACTGGCAGTTAAAAGGTAGATAATCCGTGTGAAAAGTAATTCCTTAATATGAAATGTGATCTTTCCTTAACCTGAAATAATCCGTATCTCTCTAATCCGAATTTTACGAAGTACGCAAATGAGCATTCGGTTCAAAGGGTTTCATTCGGAATGCTGCCCCCCCCTTTTTTTTCTCCCTATTTTTACCCCCTACCACACCTCTTCCCCCCCTTTTTTTTTCCCCTCCCTATTTTTACCCCCTACCACTCCTCTTCCCCCCCCCCAGTCTCTCTCTCCTTCCCTTTCCCCCCTCCCCCCCTCCTACCCCATCCCCCTCCTTCCCCTTAGTTTTAGATAACAACAACAACAGTAGTTTCATTTCAAACAAAACTGATATTCATTCGATTCAAATCTAATTATCAAATCCTCTTGCTTAATCATTTGACTCGTATATCAACTCTATATTAGATTTCCATAATGGAAAGGTAGTAAATAGATAGATCCCACATCAGCACTCCTGCCCCCCCCCCCAAAAAAAAAAAAACCCACTAACTTGATATCCAATAATTTTAATAATCACTGATAATAAGTTTGGATAATCCGTTAGCAGGAAGTAATCGAATTAATAATTTTATAATCAACAAAAGCTCACACGACTGATAAAGCAAATGTTGAATTTGCTAACGCTTTCCGCACCTGGCACAGGTGCCAAGTTATCGTCAGTGTGGGATTGTTAACAGCCTCAACTGCCGTGATAATTGTTCAGTTAACGCGCGCGGGGCCGGCCGGGAAGAGCAGCCCTGGTATTGGCTATCGGGCGGGATGACGTCATATGTTTACGTCGACCTGGCGTCCTTGCCTATTGGTCCTCCAGCGGGATGACGTCATTTGTTTACGTCGACTGGAGTCCTCGCCTATTGGTCCTCCAGCGGGATGACGTCATGTGTTTACGTCGACCTGGCGTCCTTGCCTATTGGTCCTCCAGCGGGGATGACGTCATTTCTTTACGTCGACTGGAGTCCTTGCCTATTGGTCCTCCAGCGGAATGACGTCATGTGTTTACGTCGACTGGAGTCCTCGCCTATTGGTCCTCCAGTGGGATGGCGTCATTTGTTTACGTCGACTGGCGTCCTCGCCTATTGGTCCTCCAGCGGGATGACGTCATGTGTTTACGTCGACCTGGCGTCCTTGCCTATTGGTCCTCCAGCGGGATGACGTCATGTGTTTACGTCGACTGGCGTCCTTGCCTATTGGTCTTCCAGCGGGGATGACGTCATTTGTTTACGTCGACTGGAGTCCTTGCCTATTGGTCCTCCAGCGGGATGACGTCATTTGTTTACGAAGTCGAGAGTTGTTTTGTGGAAAGAATTTTGGATCGATTTTCAAAATATAGAATATCTCTGGGATGACTTGTCAATGTAGATATGATAAAGCCCGATAGGCTCAGGAATCTGTACACCAGTTGATTGACAGTTGAAAGACGGGGCTAAAGAGCCAGGGGCTAGATTCACGAAAAAGTTAAGCAAACACTTACGAACCTGTACATCTTTTCTCAATCTTTGGCGGCTTTGTTTATACTTATTAAACAGTTAATGAACTCCGAAGCACCAGGAGGCTGTTTATAACAATAACAACAATTGATTGACAAGTTTTCACGCTTGTAAACTGTTAAATAAATGTAACCAAAGCCATCAAGGATTAAGGAATGATGTTCGTAAGTACTTGCGTAACTGCTTCGTGAATCTGGCTCCATAGCTCAACTCGTGCATGCACAACTAGGTGAGTACCAGCTTACCCATACACCCGCAAGCTCGCTTCTACGACAAGATTATCCTTCAAGTTCCCACCATCGTTTTTGCGTTAACCAACCAACATGCCGTCCTCACCATCCCTTAAACGAAGTACGCTAAATACCATTAGTTTCCCCCTCGGTGGTGTAACTATAGGCCTTATCCTCAAAGGAGCCGTCGAGTCTTTCCCCTCTGCTTAGCAAATTCTCCTCTCAAGGGGTCGCTTCGTCCCCTCGCCCGTTCACAGGAGAAAATTGGTTCTGGGAGCCCGTACGACATGAGAGTATAAAACTGATGTCAGTTTGGCTTTGAGGGTGGAGGAGCATGGGGCTTGGGTGTTGGGAGGGCACTGTGCTGTTTCCCCTTGAGAGGGTGGGAGGGATTTTTTTGGGGGGGTTGGTGTGGTGGGTGTTGGTGGGGTGTTGGTGGGTCTTGGTGGGGTGGTGGTTGGTCCTGGTGGTTTAGAGTTAGTGGGTTTGTGGTTGGGTGTCTGTGGGTGCTAGTGGTAGGGGTGGGAGTTGAGAAAGATGGTGGTAGTAGATTGTGGTGATGTGTAGAGGGGGTGGATGTGAATGATTGTAGTGGAGGGGCGGTGGTCGAGTCTCTGATTGCTGACATTTGTGTAATTATGGCGCTGTTGGATACATTTACAGGTGGTATCAGTTAAGGCTCGTATTCGTCCAAATGAAGTGAAGTGAATTATATGTTTCGTCAAAGATAACAGCAAAGTCACTCTTCGTTATAAATGTTTTAATGCAAAACACGATCCATGATACATAACTTTCCTATAAAAGATAGTTTCGAACGTCTATAGTGATGAGAGCTGTGTGTGTCATCTGCACCACACACACACACACGCGCGCACACACGCGCACACACACACACACACACACACACACACACACACACACACACACACACACACACACACACACACACACACACACACACACACACACACACGAAGAAATAATCTTGAGAAATCTTGAAGAATCTTGAGAAATAAGTCCAAATTGCCCTATATAGACTCCACTTATGTAAGACCGACACTCCAATGTACGCAGCACCGGTCTGGAACTCCAACCTGAAAAAAATGACACGAGTAAGTCTGAAAGTTTTTCACCGTGTGAAGCTCCTGGTACCGGCTCAGCGCTGTGTGAGAGAGGATTTAGTCGCATCCTTCGATCTCCTACGGTGTGTAAATAGTTTAGGACAGGGCAGTGTTTTTTCACATGGGAGGACTACACCCAGGGAACGTGGGAGAGGAACTACGCCCAGGGAACGTGGGGGAGGAACTACACCCAGGGAACGTGGGAGAGGAACTACGCCCAGGGAACGTGGGGGAGGAACTACACCCAGGGAACGTGGGGGAGAGGGACTACGCCCAGGGAACGTGGGAGAGGAACTACACCCAGGGAACGTGGGGGAGGAACTACACCCAGGGAACGTGGGGGAGGAACTACACCCAGGGAACGTGGGGGAGGAACTACACCCAGGGAACGTGGGAGAGGAACTACACCCAGGGAACGTGGGGGAGGAACTACACCCAGGGAACGTGGGGGAGGAACTACACCCAGGGAACGTGGGGGAGGAACTACACCCAGGGAACGTGGGGGAGGAACTACACCCAGGGAACGTGGGAGAGGGACTACGCCCAGGGAACGTGGGAGAGGGACTACGCCCAGGGAACGTGGGGGAGGAACTACACCCAGGGAACGTGGGGGAGGACAACACCCAGGGAACGTGGGGGAGGAACTACACCCAGGGAACGTGGGAGAGGGACTACACCCAGGGAACGTGGGAGAGGGACTACGCCCAGGGAACGTGGGGGAGGAACTACACCCAGGGAACGTGGGGGAGGAACTACACCCAGGGAACGTGGGAGAGGGACTACGCCCAGGGAACGTGGGGGAGGAACTACACCCAGGGAACGTGGGAGAGGGACTACGCCCAGGGAACGTGGGGGAGGAACTACACCCAGGGAACGTGGGGGAGGAACTACACCCAGGGAACGTGGGAGAGGGACTACGCCCAGGGAACGTGGGAGAGGGACTACGCCCAGGGAACGTGGGAGAGGGACTACACCCAGGGAACGTGGGGGAGGAACTACACCCAGGGAACGTGGGAGAGGGACTACGCCCAGGGAACGTGGGAGAGGGACTACGCCCAGGGAACGTGGGAGAGGGACTACGCCCAGGGAACGTGGGAGAGGGACTACACCCAGGGAACGTGGGGGAGGAACTACACCCAGGGAACGTGGGAGAGGGACTACGCCCAGGGAACGTGGGGGGAGGGATTGATGTCAACACGAAGTACATCTGTATCAGGGTAGTGTGGAAGGACACTGAGTTAGAGATAGAGAGTTGAAACTGACTCCATTTTGGGGTCAACTGGAGATATGATGCCCAACTTTGTCAGGTGCCCAGAGGAGGTTAGCAGCGGTGTAACGAGGCAAGGGGGTGGGAATATCAAGAGGTTGAATAGGGTTATGTAATCTGACTGTAACCTATTTCATATTTCAGTTGATATCGTTCGCCTTGCGCTTAGCTGTTCATTATACTTTAAGAGAGTGATCAAAGTTCACTGCATTTCATGAATTAGTTTAACCATTCTGGTAACTAGTGTCTGGATTCGTTCGTGTAGAATTGGAGTGCTGGATTGTTGATAACTAAGGGGGACAGAAAGGGGAGAGAGAGGGGGTTTCCATAATCATTTTAAAGGGGAAGGTAAAGGAGAAGTGTTTTACCCATTCAATGGGGAGGAAAGGGGAATCTGCGTATTCAAGGGGGGGAGAAAAATGTCGAGGGGAAATGAGGATTAAAGGAGAATGCTGCCATCACCTTTTGGGTTTACAGAGGGCAAAGGAAATCCGTCAACTCTCTTAACGTGATAACATTACTCGATTACTCAGTGAGTGCCTTTTACTCTCTACACATCAATGGACTTGTATGATTTCGAGCAAGGTGTACAACACAAGTAAATATGACACATTTGCCTTGATCAGTCTACAAATTAACCCGATAGTTCAAGTAATAACTAGCGTAGTTCTGATGACTACTTCTTAAAGTTACCAACATGAGTTTGAGTCCCTGATAGAAATCTGAAAATCTGAATTGCTATCCAGCTGCTATATACCCTCTGAGATATATATATATATATATATATATATATGTCGTATCTAGTAGCCAGAACGCACTTCTCGGCCTACTATGCAAGGCCCGATTTGCCTAATAAGCCAAGTTTTCCTGAATTAATACATTTTCTCTAATTTTTTTCTTATGAAATGATAAAGCTATCTATTTCAATATGTCGGAGGTCAATTTTTTTTATTGGAGTTAAAATTAACGTAGATATATGACCGAACCTAACCAACCCTACCTAACCTAACCTAACCTATCTTTATAGGTTAGGTTAGGTTTGGTAGCAGAAAAAGATAGGTTAGGTTAGGTTAGGTAGGTTAGGTAGTCGAAAAACAATTAATTCATGAAAACTTGGCTTATTAGGCAAATCGGGCCTTGCATAGTAGGCTGAGCAGTGCGTTCTGGCTACTAGGTACGACATATATATATATATATATATATATATATATATATATATATATATAAAGCCATAAATCACCCATAAATCACCAAAGGTCTTCTATCATCAATGTTTCCTCCCAAACAAGGTCAGAGATTCCTGTGGGCAGCGGTGTTGAAGCAAATATTCAAGGAGGATACTTCCCTATGTTTCCTGGATGACTGAAATGGATGAGTGAGTCTGGATGAGTGTATCCTGGCTGGGTCTGCTTCTGAAGCTGAAATGAATGACAATGTCTCTCTTAAATGACTCAGTACTTATCTGAAAAAACAATAACACCACTTGGACGGTGCCCCAACCGTCCAAGTGGTTGGGGCACCATTCCTTTCCCGCGTCCCATCCCAAATCCTTATCCTGACCCTTCCCCAGTGCTATATAGTCGTAATGGCTTGGCGCTTTCCCTTGATAATTCATTCATTCATTCCCTTCCCCCCTCCCCCACACACACACTTAACATAACAACACCTGAGATGGCGTTCGAGGCTCACTAAACACGTGTCACTGTCCTGCAGTTGTTGGTTTCCTCAATGCCAACAGGTATTGGGCTCCACCCATATGTTGCTGCCTTCCGCTATTTATAGGATTACACGGGCTATTCGTGCCCGTGCCACCTCTTGGGTGGGCTTATTCTCCATCAGTCAATCTACTTATAGGAGTAGTGAGTCGGAGAATATCTGACTTGGTCATTTAATGTTGGCCTCAACACACACACACAACACTCTGTACACCTGAAAGTGTAACTGTACACCTGACTTACTGACGTCCAAACCTCACTCCCTCATTCCAAGATTCGAGCTCTGTACATATTGTATATATATACATATTGTATATATATACATATTTTATATAAATAAAAGCCACCTGTTACATTACAGCGGGCCCAGGAACTGACGCTCAACTCCCTTCATCTTCCTCCCCAAATACATCTTGGTGAGAATGATACTAATTTAATTAATTATATAATTCCTTATAATCGACAATTAAACTTCGTAAATAATCAGTTAAAACGGGTCGGAAACTGTTGAAAAAGTTCCATCAATGCTAAACGTGGTATGGTATGAATGACTTCATTTTTATTTATAGACTCTTTTGTAAGAGTTTTTCAACTCTCGCTGTTTATATTATTTTTACCGTAAATTATTTGCAAAATCAAATAATATAGTTATATATAAATTTTTGGGGTAAGACAAATGAATCCCCTGTTTTGGGTTCACAAACCAAAAAAATTTGTATTTCAATATTTTTATACAATGTATCGTTTATCAGAGAATATTTATATTTTTTGGAATATTATTATATTTTTGGAATATTATATTTTAATTCATATATATATATTTGTATTCACCCTGATGTATTCACCTAATTGTGCTTGCGGGGATTGAGCTCTGGCACTTTCGGCCCGCCTCTCAACTGTCAATAATTTTTTGTTCTTACCACCCACACACACACACACACACACACACACACACCCACCCACACACACACACACACACACACACACACACACACACACACACACACACACACACACACACACCCACACACACACACACACACACACACACTCACACACACACACACACACACACACACACACACAGGAAGCAGCTGGTAACAGCTGTCTTAACTACCAGGTACCTATTTACTGCTAGGTGAACAGACGCATCAGGTTAAACGAAACTGCCTATTTGCTTCCACCATCGCCGGGGATCGATCCCTAGGCTATAGAACTACGAATCCAGAGTGCTGACCACTCAGCCATAAACCCCCTTAACCTTCAGTAGGCACGTGTGTGTGTGTGTGTGTGTGTGTGTGTGTGTGTGTGTGTGTGTGTGTGTGTGTGTGTGTGTGTATGTGTGTTTGTGTGTGTGTGTGTGTGTGTGTGTGTGGTGGGGGGAGTTATGTATTTTACTAACTCTTCATAATTGAAACTTGGATTATGGCGATCTGAACAGAGCTTAACAACCCCATACAGATAGACAGACAGACAGACAGACAGACAGACAGACAGACAGACAGACAGACAGACAGACAGACACCAGAGCTCTTCCCCCTCACACGGACCTCAGCTGCGGGCCATAACAAACAAGTAGCGCCGGGCGTGTCGATATCATATATGAATTAGTATGTTGGGGTAAATATGAGCAAGTATGTTGGGTTATGGAAAAGTATGTGGTTTATAAACTACTATGTGGTTTGTGAGCTAGCATGTGGGTTATGAGCAAGCTTGTAGGCCCTCAGTAATGTTGGTTTTATATGTAACAACCAATTGGGATACAAACTCGTGTAGTCTATATACAACCATGTAGACTATATACAACCATGTAGTCTATATACAACCATGTAGACTATATACCACCATGTGGTCTATATACCACCATACGAGCTATAAACTACCCATGTTGGCTATGCAAAACCATGTTGGCTATAAACTACTGTAAGGGACCTGTAAACTACCATGTTGGCAATAAACCACCATGTGGACTATGAACTACCACCTGGGCTGTGTAAACTACCGCTGATTAAGCAACTCGTTCGCTTACAAAGGCTGAATCCTCATAATTACATTAGCATTCCGTCGTAGATGGTGGTAGTGTGTGTGTGTGTGTGTACCCTCCTCTCTCACACACTCACACTCACACTCTCACACTCACACTCTCACACTCACACTCACAACTCTCACACTCACCCTCTCACACTCACAACTCTCACACTCACAACTCTCCCTCACAACCTTCTCACTCCTTTCTCCCACTTATCTCTCACACACACAAACACACACCTTCCCCCTTCACACTACTCTTCACCTCTCTCCCTCTCACACCTTTCCCTTCACACTCTTATCTCTCCCCCTCTCCCCCCTCCTTCACACTCTCCTCCCTTAGACAGCCTCCAGGAGGGAGCGGGCCTCCTGCAGGAGGGCCAGGGAGGGCGTGGTATACACAGTCCTCGACGCTAGCTTGAGATATTGCTTATTTTAACGTCTGACGTTTTATTGGGGAAACTGCTCCCCCAGCAGACGGTTGGGGGGAGGGTGATGGACGGGTGGGAGGGAGTGAGGGAGAGTGATTGGGGGGAGGGTGATGGACGGGTGGGAGGGAGTGAGGGAGTGAGGGAGAGTGAGAGACCGGTGAAGGAGGGATTAGGTAGAAATGTGAACGGAAGAAAGGGACTTACAGGGAAGGAAGGGGAAGGCACTTAAGTTAGGGTGTGTAAAGGGGACTAACTTTAACTATCTTTCCCGTTCTCCATATTGCCACCTATCCACTGTCCCTTATCCCCCTCCCCTTTCCCAAGCCCCATAACTTGAGAGCGATCTGTCCCACGCCACAGCGTTGCACGTCCATTCTATATCCCTCCCTCTCCCATGTTAGCCAGCCCAGCATTTGGAAATCCTGATCGACGGTTCATCTCGCTTTTAAATTCCCCTTCCTTCTTTCCTCTGGCGCCGCACTTCCTTCAATTATCTGGCGCCGCACTTCCTTCTCTCTACTTCCTTGAGTGTCATCACAGAGGACGCCAATGTTTACTGGCGCCGAAAGAAAAGTGGCTTCATTGATGACGATCCGTTTCCGAGTTATGACTTAAGCTTAATTACGAGAGTGACCCCTCTGATTCCTGGAAGATGAAAAGACCGTTTTCTACGTTCAACAGTCAACAGTAAGATAAAATCCCTGTTGGGGGCTACAGTTCTTCCAGTGTTGGTCCATGACAAGCACCGCTGTCAGAGCACATGGCGCTCACATTGCACAA